TTTCCCTGCCCTCCCACCTACCCTGGCTCAGGGAAGCCTAAGTTGGCCTTAAGACAACTCCCCTCCAAAAGAAAGCTGTACTTGCACTGCGGCCAGGGAACTGGCAACTAGGAAGCAGGGAAAGCACCACTCCACCATATTGCTGTGCTGCCAAAGCCACCTGGGCCATGTTGGACCAGATCGAGGCTGTTCCAGCCCACAGTTTGTCAAAGGTTGCCAGCCCCTGGACTAGAGTAGTGGCTCTCAACCTCTTTAGGTTCAAGGCATCCCTCTGATCCAGAACTTAGCAGCACCATATTGCAGAAACTAATGCAAATTAATATGAATATTATAATATTAGCATTATATTATTAATAAATGTGGTGTTAATTAATTATGGTATGGCATGGCATGACACAGCATGGCAGTTGCCCCTTCCAGCTACTTCCCTGGCTTTCCTGCCCCACATGTTTTTTCCCAGTGTGGCACATGGGGCCAGATCATTCTTGGGACTGAGATCTGAAGAGCCAATTTCTACCTTTAGGATCCCCCACAAACTTCAGCCCTGGGGTCAAAACAGATAAAGCCTGGGGACACCCAGCCAGCAGGGACCAGGTGCTGGGCTATGCACACATGTCATGTAGGGATGCTGAGAGGGTAGGAGGGGCAAGCAACAGGTTCTGGTGGGGGGAACCCCTTCCCCAATCTACCCCTAGCCTGTATCTAAGGGGAGAAGCACAGCTTCTGCTACTGTGACTGCTCCTCTCAGGACTGGCACAGGTCTAGAGCCATCCACTCTCTGCGACCCCTTCCACCAGCCCTGGGAGCGGTGGAGGAATGAGTCAGAGCAGGCGGCTCAGAATGGCTGCTGCAGAGTAAGAGGGGGCAGCCACAGGTGCCCCTTGTCTGCAGAACTTTGGAGCACGCAGGGGGAAGAGCAAGTAGTGTGCTTACCTCCTTGCACCGGAGAAGGGGCTGTGCATCTGGGCTAGAATCATAGAAAAATAGGGTTGGAAGGGACCTCAGGAGGTCATCTAGTCCAACCCCCTGCTCAAAGCAGCACCAGCCCCAACTAGATCATCCCAGCCAAGGCTTTGTCTAGCCAGCTTTAAAAAGCTCCAAGGATGGAGAGTCCACAACTTCTCTGGGTAACCTGTTCCAGTGCTTTACTAGCCTCGTAGTGAGAAAATTCTTCCTAATATCTAGCCTCAGCTTCCCTTGCTGCAACTTGAGATTGTTGCTCCTTGTTTTGTCATCTGCCACTACTGAGAACAGTCTAGCTCCATCCTCTTTTTTAACCCCCCCTTCAGGTAGCTGAGGCTGCTATTAAATTCTCTCTGTGCCCTCTTCTCTAGACTAAGTAAGCCAGGTTCCCTCCGTCTTTTGTCATAAGTCATGTCCCCCAGCTCCCTCACCATTTTTGTTGCCCTCTGCTGGACCCTCTCCAATTTGTCCACATCCTTTCTGTAGTGCGGGGTCCAAAACGAAGCACAGTACTCCAGAGGTGGCCTCACCAGTGCTGAATAGAGAATAATCACTTCTCTTGACCCGCTGGTAACACACCTACCAATGCAGCCCAGTATGTCATTAGCCTTCTTGTCAAGAAGGGCACACTGCTGGCTGATATTCATCTTCTTGTCCACTGTAACCCTCCAAGTCCTTTTCTACAGAGCTGCTGCCCAGCCAGTCAGTCCCCAGCTTGTACTGCTTCAACGGACTGTCTGTCCTAAGTGCAGGACTTTGCACTTGTCCTTATTGAACCTCATGAGATGCCTTTTGGCCCAATCCTCCAATTTGTCTAGGTCAATCTGAATCTTAACCCTAACCTCTAGCGTATCTACTACACCCCCCAGCTTGGTGTCATCTGCAGACTTGCTGAGGGTGCACTGTATGCCATCTTCCAGGTCACTGATGAAGATATTGAACAAACCTGGTCCCAGGACTGACCTCCCCAGTAAAAGACAACAAGAAATTGTTTTTTAGATATATTGGGAGTAAAAGGAAGGCCCAGGGAGGACTAGGGCCCCTGCTAAATGGGCAGAAACAATTGGTGACGGACAGAGGGGACAAGGCTGAACTCCTCAAAGAGTTCTTTGCCTCAGTGTTCCTAAGTGAGGGGCATGACAAGTCTCTCACTGGGGTTGTAGAGAGGCAGCAGCAAGGTGCCAGACTACCATGTGTAGACCCTGAGATGGTGCAGAGTCATTTGGAAGAACTGGATGCCTTTAAGTCGGCAGGCCCGGATGAGCTCCATGCGAGGGTGCTGAAGGCACTGGCCGACATCATTGCAGAGCCACTGGCGGGAATATTTGAAAGCTCGTGGCGCACGGGCCAAGTCCCGGAGGACTGGAAAAGGGCCAACGTGGTCCCCATTTTCAAAAAGGGGAGGAAGGAGGACCCGGGCAACTATAGGCCAGTCAGTCTCACCTCCATCCTTGGCAAAGTCTTTGAAAAAATTATCAAGGCTCACAT